TACCCGTTCAACCTCGTCAAACGAACCATTCAACAAATAACTCAGCTTCTGACTGAGATGCATTTGACATGTGATTAACCCGATGTCCCAGAAGGAAGCCGGATTTCAGAATATCTATTCGGCAAATCCATAGTGGTTCTGCGTGCCCAAGTGATATTGGGCCGTAGAACCCGGACCACCTGTTATTACAAGCTTTGCGTTTAACAGTCAGAAGGATATTGCTGATATTAAGACTAGTCTGGAATAAGTTCCTTAATTCTTCATTGAAACTACGACCTAAATCTTGTAGGTAAAGAAGCAAGCAAGCGTCGAATGTCTGCTTAACTAGTCACGCGATGCTGATGCAGATCCATTGAGTTGGTAAAAATCACATATTAATAGGAAAACAGTCAGCTTAAAATGCTGAGCGAACTAATTATTCTTTATCTTACCAAGGGAACGATTATCATGAGGTGAAAACGGAATACCTTGATAACCCTAACTTCAGCATGAACACTAACGAGGCGATGTTGGAACAACCAGCCGATAACAAAAACTAAGTGCTTCATGAAATCGAAAGTGGCCATTACACAAAGCTCGCTGTTAACTTAACCGCGTATTGTGTATTATTTTCAAAAAAGGGTTTGTTTGAGGCAATTAAAAGGGAGGCGGCCATCGAAAAACAACATTTAGGGTAATGAGATTTGTCTGGGAAATGCATTTGCTTAATATAGTTGTATTTTTTCAGTTTGGAATGTGATTGACACTATGAACTTACTGTACACCACTTCCAAGGATTCTAAAATGACATAAGGATTCAGTAAATTCAATCCAATAAACTGATCAACTCGTAATTATCGTCTTGCTACATATCCAGCATTACCTGATTTTGCTTCAGAAAGGGACAAAAGAAGTCCAAAAAGAATTGTGTAGGTAGACACCATATTTGTTCCTCTGGCAAAATGACCTTCTTGATATTGGCAACAGTTTAAATAATGACCTAATTTGATTTCGGGCCACGTCATAAATAAATCGCATTGGTTTGAGTTGCGCTCCTAATTGCGATTTGCATTTTGTGACGGTACCTGTGGATCATTAGGTGAAGGGATACCTGCCCACGAGTGCGCAAAACAGTCTTTAATGTTTGCTAACGAGTGCACATTCCACTTGTTTCTCAGTGGTTCAAGTTCCGACCCAAAAAAATCAAATTCACAGAAAGCCACAATCATTTGTTACCAGCTGTAACAGGTGTTTGTGAACGAATTCAGAGAGACCTCTTGCAAGGCAGCAGCAGCTGAAGGGCTTATTCTACACATACTTTAACCCCCTGCTAAAATCGACAAACACAAACTCTAGTTTATTCATGAAGACAATTTGAGAAATAGCCAAAAGTCAACCAAAACGGTATTCTGACACTTAGCGAAGGGGTTTTGAAGCTGAACCGTTTTATTGTAATTATACACCCCCACCCTACCACACTCCACCCTACCTCCACCGGTAACCAATCGAGACTGAAATCTTCAGTCAAAACAAACGCTTTGCGCGACGTTGCAATCCGATGCTTGTTTATGCATCACCATAGCATATAACTTTTCCATACATTTAGAGGAGAAAGATTCCATGGGAGCTCTCCGAAACGGGTTTGCACTCGTCTCCCATGTGGATTTTATTTAAAGTAATGTCTGATCAAACACCTGCGTGCCAACTAGTTAAAAAGTGAAACATTTGTGAGAGGTTACAGAAACGTTTTCACAAGTCACTCGGTGCCTTATCCGCGTTTGCCTCCTAATACTAATATTATATATATATATATATATATATATATATATATATATATATATATATGTCAGCCCACCGTAATCTCCGACCAACCTCTTAGTGCTTCGTTTTTATCCACAATGGGCACTAAGTAGCGACAAAACACTGAAATTTTACATAAGTATCTTAGGAAAAGCGCCAAACGGAGTAGCTCCTTCTACATGATTCCAGGATCACACTTCGACACATCTAGCTTGAATGTCCCAAAAGTGCGATTTCTATCGAAAAACTGGCTACCTTGAATCATTCATGGTTTCCTGATGGTCCGCTGGTACATATGTCTAGCACAAGAACTCTCTGCTTGAGTACTTAATCGAAGAAAATAACTCGATGATTCTATTCCTCATAGTCATCTTTATAAATGCACGCCATGTTTTATTGAATCCATTCTTACAAAAAGCAAGTGAGAGTATATTTGACGGTGTGCAAATCATTGGGATTTTAGCTGTCAAATACAATACAAAAATGACTAAAATTGTCCCGGTCAAAACATAATTTCGGCTTCTATTCGGGCCGAATAATTGAAAAAAAACGAAAAAAGTATCAGATAAATGCTTTGATTTTACCAGTATATACTTTCAGGTCTCGGCCCATCAAGCAGTTATACTATTGCTCGACTCTTATTTATATTGTCCAGATAGCTGTAGACTACACCATGTATTGAAAGTTTATCAGTGGGCTAACGCTAGCTCATTCAGTTAAATAGAATTAATCCCAAGTCACCACATACGATGCAGTTTGGTCCTCAAGGTATCTAGATGTGATTTACGGAGACTGTGCAGCAGCTGTTCTATTCTATAAAAGCTAAACGTGGCAAATAATTTTTTATTCAACTTTTATCTACATATGATTAACCTGGTCAGTCAGTCATGTATTACCTAACGTACGTAGTAATGCTTTAGACCTATTTAACTGGGTTTTTCCAATTCACTTTATGGTTTTCACCATCTTACTACCAAAAATCGGAAGTGCCAATCAGTCTGATAAATATAGACTATCATCCGTCCACTAGTGAGCTTCCTAACACCTTACGTTATTCCGACATCTAAGGCATGGAGTTAACATGTTTTTTGTTATGGTGAAGGTTTGCTCTTGTAGCGATTCTGAGATCGATCACATCCAAACTCCTAACGCTTATCTTACCTGATTGCTTCAGTATCAGCGGCGTGGATAAGTAGGGTTACCACAGGTCACATAAATCACCCTGAGCAGTTCAGTAAGCGTATGTCCAGGTGCGTACTCTGCATGCCACATTATCGCTCCAGATTGTTTAGTCAAGGTTAGCAGTCGTTAGTGGGCTGGAGACAGTCGAATAGTTGCCGCGTGAGCTGCTTAGACAGGACAGAGACGTCTAAGAAATATGGCGCCGGAACAACGTTATCACTTAGTTTAGACCTCGTTAATGAACATCCATCGGGATTTTGCGAGTTTCCAGTTGGCCAACTCCATCTGTCTGGAATCGACATAGTTTTAGAAATGAAAAATCGCTTCAGTTCCAAGTTTTTCATTGACACAACTAACAGAGCAGTAGACTCCCTTCGCAACGCACTTGACTACTCCACAACCATTAGGTGTCGATTTTCTTCAACCATAAATGCTCATAAATAGTTGCCGAAGAATTCAGATCTTGAGAACTTTTTCTGGATTTATTTATTGTTTCTGAAGTGTTTGTAGGTTCATGCCAAAAAAATTTCACTTGTCCATCCGACTTGTGCCAGATTTTATGGTGTACTCACTTGTTAGTGGTTTTTTATGTGGCACACTCCTGATTTCAAGAAAACACGTTTTTTGAAAAATGAAAACTTGTAACTCTGAATCCAACACCAATACGCAGACAACAAGACAACCTTACCAAGCTCATTTATCGTTAATAGGATGAAACGTTGTGTGAAACAACATAGAGTTAAATAATGATGATAGATACGTGAACAGTAATGTTCGACACTTTCTCACACTCATGCTATAATTCTGACAGGTTTTCTTCTTTGCGTCAACAACCGACATCTGTGGCGTTACTTTTAAACGGTCTCCACCTTTACGAATCGAATCCCCAATCAGGATGACGCTTAGACTGACAGCGCTCAATGTTCTGTTCTAGCGTAAGTTATTTTAACTTTAAATCGTTCCGGCTGTGAAATGTCAGGCATCAACCTATTAAAGAGGCCAATCGGATCACGATGTATACGATGCAGCATATGGCTTCGTAATGCATGGATTAATCTAAGCTATTTGAGTTGGATTTACTTAGCACTTCACTGAATACATGTTTTACATGATTCTTTCAAACGTTTTGTAAATGATTTCAATCATGAGTAACTCCAATTCAGGTGGGATGAAGCAGAAACCAAATTGTGATAGATTCCTCCACATCTTCCTGATGATGTGAAGGCCTGTTATGTCATGGCTTCTTTAAACCTGAATCAAACAACAGTTAAAAAATTTGCCGCGGTATGGAGAGTATGGAGCCAAAATCTTCATGAAATATGAGATGAATATCCTTGGAACTTTTAAGGCAACAATAAAACTTCTTACATTTAAGACAGAACAGCAAAAGTACCCTCATTATCGGAAATGAAATTCTCCCATTAGTAATAAACCTGCTTCCGGAACTACCTTTATTCATGTCCTAATTGCTTCTGACATACTTGGATATTGCCGGTCTTTAAAAAGAAGCACAGGAATCTAAGGATACAAAATCAATGCAAAAAGATGGACGACTTAGAGTAAGACTGTAGCCTGTGATCTCCAATTTACAAGAAAACTCGTATTCACAGCCGTCGTGAAGGCCGATCAAAGTTGCACATGTACCTACAGTCGAATTATTTTAAAATGAGGGTTCAAAACCTGGCACGGCCATTGGATATGCACTGCTGATGAGCTCTAATAAGAGCGAAAATCGATTCCAGTGCTTTCCTTCGGTGTGGACTCACCGGAATAATTACGCCAAAACAGGAACACGGCCGTTCAAACGAGAGTGGTGTGGCTATAAAAGTAGAGTAAGATTGTAGCCTGTGATCTCCAATTTACAAGAAAACTCGTATTCACAGCCGCCGTGAAGGCCGATCAAAGTTGCACATGTACCTACAGTCGAATTATTTTAAAATGAGGGTTCAAAACCTGGCACGGCCATTGGATATGCACTGCTGATGAGCTCTAATAAGAGCGAAAATCGATTCCATTTCTTTCCTTCGGTGTGGACTCACCGGAATAATTACGCCAAAACAGGAACACGGCCGTTCAAACGAGAGTGGTGTGGCTATAAAAGAAAAACAAATAACTACTGCACCAACTTGGAGACCCACCTGAAATCCAGCTGAATCCCTCGTTTGTGATATTCTTGAGCTACTGAATGTGCTGTACCAGGCCGCCTCACTTTCAATTGCTACGATATTCGAGATATTGCGAAGCATTGTATAAATGTAGTACACTGCTCATAAGGTTGCTGCGAAATCTTTGACAGACCACGACCGAATATTGACTTCTTGGAGCTTATCAGGTAGACGCAGTCCCCAAGCATCCATCAACCTTATGTTCTACTTGAACTCATTGCCTAGACCTCCAAATATTCATCCAGGCAGTTTGGATAGAGCTGAAAACAAGGACGCCACTGACCTCGATTGGCAGTCACAACTTGCAGCGTCTCAAAACATGCACAGTGGGGACCAGGCAGCCTTTTCCTGGGAGGCGAGTAACACTGACAGCATCAAGACTTCTTGTATTACTTCTGCATCTTCCATATTGGTTTCCGCCTCACTGCTTCCGGCACTCTGGATTGGGTAAGGAAAACAGCACTCCCTTCAGTGAATAGTGGTTCGTCACGAATTACGCATAACCAAACTAACGCAACTGTATCGCTTGTAAACTGCTATTTTACATGCTCAATATCATCTCATTCCTCCCTTCAACATCGGTCATGGTACTATACAAAATTTTGTCTTAATGAAATACACAAGGTTCAACGTGACTTTGCGATTTTCGCTGAGCGACTTTTGTTGTGATTGTCGGTTGAATATCATGGGCTGGTAGTAATTCCTAACGTGAACAAAAATTACAGCTGTAGACACCGGACTTATTTAATTACATTATTGGGTTACAAATGAGATTACCGGAGATCTGGAACACCAGGAATGTAGAACCTTCTCTTCTTGGTGTAGCGATTCGAAGAAATACGGATCTGCAGAATTTCCTCTTGTGAGTTGAGGTTTACTTGGATTGTTCTCCTTGAGGCGTTATATCTGGTTTACTTTGATAGTTGCTCTGTTCATTGGAGACTTCTTCGGGCCGCTAGCCACTGCACAGCTTTCGGTGGTGAAAACTCTTCTATGGATGCTTCCATTGCACGACCGCACGTTAAACTACTAATCACCTTGCTACAGATTCACCGACACGAACTTCTACGCAGCATGGTCCTCAAAAAATGAAGACGTTCCATTTTACGCTGATGGAACAGATAAAGCCTGATACACACCCTCCTCGAGATTTGGGAATATACCGCTTTCACGTTACATGTGTTCCAAGTTAGCAAACGCGCCGCGAGCCGTGAGGATTCGTGCACTAAACTTCTATGCAATCGGAAGCTGATTCTTATCGGGAACATGCAATTTGCCCCAAAACTTTGTTTGTCGAACAAAAATTGTTGCTTAAAATTGCTGCATTTTTCTGTATTGGTGCAGAAACCAGGACCTATCATAATTTGCCTTACCTTTGTTGCGCACTGGTTTTAATTGATCTCCCTTCGTAGTTTCCGGCGCTCATTCAAATTCACAGCTGCAGTGCCTTGGCTTAACACGTTTTGGGATTGCTTCAGAATACGTTTTTTGAGAAATTAGAGGCTGTCAGGTTTTCATCCTTCATGGCATTTGAAAAGGCGTTGAACGATTACTTGAGGGATAATTGTGCGGTATTTGTGCTTGCACTGGTGACAAAATGTATCAACTCTGTTTTCCGGTAAAACCGGGTGTACCAAGGATGCAACAGCCGGCTAGAAAAGTCAAGAAAGTCTAGAAGGCAGAAAAAGCAATTAAGTTGAGCGAAGTTGTTATTGACAAAAAGTACACTAGGCACTGGTTGCGTAGTACGGCCTCGCCTAGGGAGACACGGGAACCAAGTCAGCTTTCATTATCTTGTGAACAATCATAAGATGGCCGCGGTTTGTACGATTGGCTTCCGGTAAGTCGACAGCTCACCGAAGAGAAATTGTGCACCTGCACGACCCTGATAAAGTATACAACACCGTATACAAAAGTCTAACTGTAGGCTTTCATTTTAACATAATACTAGCACAAGGACCCAGCAAGACCTGCAAGTGGTGCGTCGCACAGACCCTAGATTTGCCCCTCATCTCACAGCCCACTGGTTGTACATCACCTGCAAGTGGGCTGTACACGCGCAACCTGAGATGGTTCACTACGGCAGCGTGATCAACCACTGCCTAGAGAATGCTAACCGTCGTCTTGGTAAGCTGGCATATCCCATAGACGCTCTTGAGCAAGCCATAATGAAGGTGTCTCAGAGTACTGGATGGCTCATGAAGGAATACGAGACGCAAACTTTGTACCAATCTGACCGAGGGGAAATGCTGTAGAGCGGTGGCTAAGTACTAAAATACGACTGCGTACGCTTCCCCGTTTTAATGCCGCGACCTATAAGGCTGCACTGCCATCTTGTTGGACCTACCAAGGTGAGGTAAATGTATGACAAGTAACTCAAAGTTCCTGGTACAAACACCGAGACTCGGATTCTGACCTCATCAATCTCACCGTTATCTTCGTACACTGCTTGTAGGAGTTCGTCCGGACCAGCAGTTTGGCATTTAGTGTCTGTAATCGGTTGTCACATTTATTTACGATTTTTCCTCAACTTAAATTGCATTGTGTAACTGTTGTACATATTTTATCATGACGTTTGTTTTATTGTACCAAATAATACAGTACAGAAATTTTCGGTGCGACTTTCTGACTTCTTGCTGAGCCAGGGGATTTACGCTCCGCTGAACTGTTTGCTGACTACTGAACCAGTGGGGACTATATCTGTGTTTATGTGAACTGTTGAACACCGCAATAACTCCCTGTGACATTTTTTAGCTGTGAATAACTTTCCTATCATAAAATATACTACTTACACGGGAATCATCAGTGGAAAATTTCTACAAGTGGATATTTTCTTCGCAGCCGGTTACTGCAGTGGAATCGGTGTAGTGGACTATTGGATCTACGCATTCGTGAGCCCTAGCGATTGCTTGTTCCTTTTCTACTGTGATTTTGTTATTTCGTATTTATTACATTGCTCGTTTATTTGACCGAACACGCTAATGGGGTCCCAGTCCGCTACAGGCAGCACTTGAGAAGAACTATTCCCTCATAAGCCGTGGAGGATAAAAGGTGTTCAACGCTCAACATCCAGCGTTCTACGTCAGCTGTATGCTGCAGATGAGTCAATCAATTCAATCAATTTATAGTCTATCAACTGCGTAACATTGGTACCGTTGGAAGGTGGGAGTGTGCGCAAGTTACGGCCAAGCCTCGGAGATGATAGTATATGCAGTATGTTCCGGAATTAGGTAGATACTCAATAAAGACAACGCATGAGCTCCACCGGCTGAGCGATTGGACCGTTACTGCCAGTATCTTTAAACATGAGTGAGTTGAACACCCGAGATCTCCATCCAGAGAGGCGGCACCTGTCGACTATACTGAGTTTACTGATAAGTTTTTCATATTTCGTTGTCTGGTCATGAGCTGTAAACGTCTCGGTAGCATTCACTTACTACAGGACTGGGCCCGGATAGCTCTGTGGGGCAAACGGTTTTCGGCATGCGGAGTACATATCCTAACCGGCGCAACCTATCAAGCGTGAGTAATTAATCTGGCGCTTGATAATTTCTTCTTTCTAAGACCATCCGGCTAACCTCAGTAGGGCAGTTACGATGTTTCCGCCAAACCTGACCAATGTTTTGGAGACACCTATGGTCAAACACTGACATCTTCCGTATGACCTTTGCGCGTGGAGGCCGAGTTTCTGACCCATAAAGCACTACAGATCACGCACCCACATTGTAAGTTCTGCTCCTGACAGTTAAGCTGGCGTCACGTCGGCGACTAGGTATCAGAGTTTGGCAAAAGCCGCCCTGGCCGTCACAGTTCGAGAGGTGATCTCAACTCCAGCCAGTCAACGGAACCTATGCAGGCACATAGGTAAACATGTTGATTGGCTCGCTTGCAATTGTGAGGTTTCGCCTTGATCCCACCAAGTTTTGAGCAGTACTTTACACTTGGCGGGTGTGGGACCCACGCTAAACCGTGCATGAGTGCTAATGAAGTTAATTCACATCGTTTGCACTTTTGAAGGGACTGAAACAAGGAGGTCTATGAGCGAACGTCCGAGATGCACTCTGACCTCCGAGGTTTCAGAGGCAGGCAGGAAAACTTCAAGAGCACATCAATTACAAATTTGAGGAGGAAAAGTGAGAGGGCAGCCTCGTTTTACACAAAATCAAAAGTTCAAAAAGTTCATAACAAAATAAATGACGAACATGGGACATCTGAAGGAGTGGTGCTGTTCAAGAATTTGTCCCAAGGTAAAGATATGTTTGATACATCGTCGGCTACAGCGAAACCAAGCCTGGTTTTCATGGACCCTGTAATCCTGGCCTCGTGGAAGGGAAAAGTTTTGCAAAGATCTCTACAGTTATCTTGAGAGACCCATTACACATGTCGCTGTTTAATTACGTAGATTAGACATGGTCATTCGATGAACTCACAACGGCTTCCTGATAGTTTTTCCGAGAAAAGAACTTTAGCGGCTTGGCGCGATACAAAAGCTCATGATATAAAAACCGTTGGTTAGTCAGCATTTACAACGCTTCATTTGTGCCAAGGTCCAAGCAGCCGATTTTTTCGAAAGCGCATAAATTGCCAGTAACAAATTTTACATTCGGGTCGGTGTTAACATTGATTTTGCGCCGTCAGGACAGCAAGAGTAAAGGCAAATTAGTATCATTCACTATTTCTGGGTTACTTTCATTGTGAATAAATGAAGGAGTAGTAGATTGGGGCGGGAAATTTGGCCTCCATTTTGGGGCAAAACCCTGTGTGGATAGGTCATTTAACCGGCGTGTGGTATGTTTATCAAAATGTCGGTTTTAATTGCTGTACTGTTAAAGCCAACTTCTACCTTCTTTTAATTGACTTGTGAGATACCTTCTGATTTAAACTTCACTTGATCCGTTGCACATGCGGCCAATAATTTCCAAGTTTAATACAAGTTGTATGTTGCTAGAGAAACTAGGTTGACACGAAAAGTTACTCGTCTTTTTAAAGCGCTTTAGTGCATAACTTTATGCTTTCCATAAATTTTGCCAGTTTTTTCGCTCGAGGAAGAACGATAAGAACCGTATTGTTGCAGTGTCTTACTAGCTGACAAAATGTTTAGTTCGTGGGCAGTAATTTATCGGCTGCCTACAAAAAAGGGTGCCCCTGGTTTCTCGAATTACTGTAACCGACACCCAATCCACAAAAAAGACGGCAGATAGATGGGGATCACTTAAATTTCTCCAAATGCGTACATTAGCGTATTTTCATCATTTATCTAATAAAATCCGCAAAGCGTATGGACCAAAAAGGCCGGCAACTCAAAAAACTCCCCGAACCGGGCATGATTTTCCCGAGATAGCAAGAGGAAAGCTAAATAACACCATTTTGTGCAATAAAGTACGGTAACGTTTGTGTTTGCATGCGTCATTTTGATCTTCAGTGATTTCAATTAAGATCAGCGTGCACCAGTATGTAGTAAAGGTATTCTTCTCAGCTCAGCTGTCGGTCTAAGCCTCCTAAACTAGCGTTCACGTCAAAAGAACCACCAAAGATGTATTAACGCCAAAAAAGTCAAAAACACCTTCACAGCGTTACATATATATATATATATATATATATATATATATATATATAGTATAAGCAGCGACAACCTTCTGGAAAATCTGGCACCTTCTGGACCGGGAAGCGTCCTTAGTTTTAGGCCATTCTCGCGGGGAATATGCTTTTTGTCCGTAGCAGCACTTGACCGCGAGCGGTAAAGCGGGGTCCGCGTGGAATTTTTCATAACACAGTGTGCGTGAGCAAAATTGTGAACAGGCAGAAAAGTACACGTAAGTGCAGTGCCAGAAATGTTTCAGGTCTCATTTCAATAAGCAGGTGAGTCAGAGAAAAATGGTGAAAATGACAGAAAACATATGAAAATATGCGTTTTTACACATGAAATTTTGTGGACAAAAAATCGACAACGTTTTCTATGGAAGAAAATTTTGGTAGCTCAGGTAGCGTAGATGGCCGTTGGTTTGTTCGCTGAGCTGGGTAATTTGATTGGCAATTGGCACAACCACTAAGTCATCGCTACGCACCACTACGCTCCCCGACAACGCACTGATGATGCCACCTCGATTGGTGTTGATACGTGTGCAATCAAGCTGCCCAGCTCAGAGAACGAATCAACGACCGTTGGCGACGTTCTTATTGAAACCAGTTCCTTCAAGTTCAAAAAGAAAGTTGCAACGTGAAAAGTTAAGACTTGGATTGAAAAAGGCTCACTTTCAAGTGACCGAAAGTGGATAGGGATCTAAGTACGCCCAGCTGAGCGGACCTTTTGAAAGCTATCTCATACGGCGGTAACAACAGATTTATGGAAAGGTTCATTTTTTCAAATTTTGAGTTAGTTCGTAGGGTACTTTTAGATCAAATGGTGACAACTGTAAATTACCAGAGTGTAAATGGAAGTAAATAGCAAAACTAATGCCAGGAACATTGACATACATGTCCAACTACACGGCTCGATAAAATCTCCGTGCAGAGCTTGCAAAGAAGTGGAAGTTAAACTTCATCTTTGAGAGCATCAGCATAATTCATAACAGATGAAGCTTAATGCCTTTCCATTTTTGTGTGATAAAATCACCAGGAAAATGACCATAATTAAAACGGAGCATTCTAAAGAACTGTAATTCATGTAGAGCGGCCCATTTAGAGGGACAAACACCAAGAAGCTGTTGAACAAATCATTTAAAAGATTTACTTTTGCCCAAAGATGAAGCAGTTAGGTAGATAAGGGGGTCACGGCAGCAGGCATTCATGGCTTTCAATAGTGATGGAGCTGACCTAAAAAAGCTATTGTTATAGGTTGGATTGTTACAAAGTCAATTTCAATGGTCTTCTAAATGTGTATACGTGAAATGGAGAGAAGCATATCAAGATCTCAAGTCCAGTTTAACTCTATAGTGCGCTACTCGAACAGATGTGAAAATGTGCCATCTGGTTCGAGAAACATTGTCAATTAGCGAGGTTCGGGCACGTGTGACAATGTCAGCAAACTGAGGGATCCGTTCGTTCAAAAGGCAGTGTGGCTAATAAAGTTTAGAAGTCAATTAGAACCAAAAAGAAACTCTATGATTAGTAAATCGAAACTAGGCGGGTGAACATCTGTGCCAAGTCGTATCCCGCAAACGAGGCTAGTACATGCACACATCTTATATGAGGTCCATGTCCTTTTTTGGGACGGTATAACGGATTTTATTGTCACTATTTTCTGTTGTATCGATGAATCCTTCCGTTCTTGAACTCCGCTGAGTTCAGTGGTTCCAATTAGTTCGTTGTGAACGAAATACCTTTTTTGTATAGCCATATTTATACATAAATGCATATATATAACTTAGGACTATAACGAAAGAGCTAGGATTTGGACGGGGAAATCTCTTCAGAAGGATATGGTTGTAGCTGAGGGCTAATAAGTCAATGTTGCAACTTTCAGAAGCGTGATACCCCCTGGAGTGATACGGCCTCTTTAGATTAGCCCTTACATAGAATAAACGGCTAAGAGATTATGAACAAGGGAGTGGTTCTAAGTTTCTGTTGGTACACAGATCTTCTTTAGATGCAAATCATAAGAGTCAGTGGGTTTGTGACTAAGTTGCATTGGACACATTGTTAGCCTTTCAACTGACAAAGAAGAAATCCTTGGAGCAGACCTAAGAATGGCCCCTGGGTGTGATGAGAAATCGCCCACAAATTCGCTAACTCACAAAAATACTTAGGAGGAGAAGACCAATAACTGAACGGTATTCTGCAAAACTTGGTTTAAAATAAAGAGCTTACAGAATACAGACATTCAGAACTACACGATTATTTTAAAAATACTTTGGTGGATGGCACCGTGTGAGTAAACAACATTGAGCAGATCTCCAAAGAGTTTCGTGTTCTGCAGCCTATCATCAGCCCCGGATACAGGTGCTATGTGGGATAGCTGTCGATCCGAACCCCAAATCAAAATTAAACCACTATTCTCGAGTTTCTATTGTGAAACGAGGAAAGCGAGTATCATGCAGAGGTTCCAACAGAACCAGCCGCCCACAATACTACGACAATTCCCGGGACGAGCGAGAGCGTACACATCCAGAGACTCCCGTGATCGCAGTAAGTCGTAGGGTTCTGGGGAGAAAGCCTTATAAGTGACGGAAATTAACTGCACTTCCACTGCATAGCACAATTCTTGAGCCTTAAGCCACTAAACCCAGTTAAATCACTCCTCGAGGTTTTTTACTTACCGGTTTTTTTCTTGGAGTTCCAGTTGGAGGTATAAATCCCCGGGAGACTACCGACGTAAAATTCCCGTATGGTTCGGGTGTCTGAGTTTAAACTATTCTAAATTTACTCTACTGAAATCTAACTTTTTTGAAGGGACGCACCACTTAATTTTATATCACCGTCTGGAGTTTCTCGGCCACTGCTCCCATACACACTCGGATTTCTTTATGATCTCCATTACACTGTCCACCTCACAAGGTAACTAAGAAACTTTCTATCGTTTAGGTTAATTTTTTGCTATAAGCACAATATATATGCTATATATGCTATATATGCTATATATATTCTATATATGCTATATGCGCAATAATAATAATAATAATATGCTTATTCCCCAAATTTTCAAAAGCATAACAAATGAGGCATGATCTGGTCGTTACTATCTGAACGTGGCGAACAGCACAACGGAGGGGAAGATGAAACTAAGAGAACATAACTAGCACATGATAAGTAATTGGAAATTGTAGATAGGCTCACTGGTATCGCCGCTGAAAGGAATTCAGGTGTTAACGTTTTTAGGAGGAAGACGGAGAGCAAATGTGCATGGCTGAACGAGCACCATAAGTAAAATTGCAGTAATTGGGTTCAACGCGTACATCTGACAGCCCAAAGAACTGGAAATTCAGAATTTAACACGGCATAATAAGTAGCACGTAGGTACTTGAATTGAAGTGTGTAAAGCACTTGGAATAATAGAACAAGAAAATAATGAATAGAGGAATGAATAAAGCATCACTCATGCTTGCCATCATTCACCACACCTTGAATGTGCATGTGAATTGCTTGATCGCAATCTTTCGGATATTTTCGGATTGGAAACTGCAGATGTTTGATGAGAGAAAACATTTTACTAGGAAACAATAAGGATACTTTACAAATTATTCACAAGTGATACCGACAACAAGAGGGGCGGGAACGCAACAACTATCAAGATTGTGAACGTGGTCGATGCTTGTTGATTTTGAGCCGTTTCGAAAGATCACTCAAGGTATTAGATCTGGAAAATATTTAGGAAGACCGTGACCCACCAAATTTGCAGCGGTCTTGCTACCCAAAAATCTACTTTACCAAAAGCGTATGGTAAAGAAAAAAATAATAGCGCTAGATTGATTATACAGTTAGGTCAGATGGAACAGGCTTACTAAGAGTTGCTGTCATCCAAATAGTTCGTCGTGGGCGCATGATTTTAGGGCGGTTTTCTGTTGGATAGTTTTCACATATGATAAAAACCCGAAGACAGTCTTGAGTGTTTAGATACCGCAGTTAGCCCATGAAACTTGCGAATGATCGCTGTAAGGGCGAACGAAATAAGGAGAGAAAGTCCAATCACGCGACCACGTTATCCTGCGTTTAAATTGTACAAAATGCGCGTGTCTGTAGGTTTTATAGTCAAACAAAAAACGTTAATGCAATTGACAAACTGTGTAACGATATAATGGAAGCAAAAGAAAGATACGAAACACCACAAACCTAACTGGCTTCGGTCTATTCACCTAGCTTCACGGCACATGAATCATAACGGGACCTTCTGGCTAATTGCGGTTCCCAGTATTTGCACAATAGAATGGAGTTTCCGAAAGATATGACGTGTCCTTGATGGACTAAAGCAGTCGAAAATTAACCACAAAATGCCAATCCGAACTTCTGAGTTGTATCCAGGAATCCCGGCTTCTTGGCAATGCTTGGAAATTTTTCCACAAGGCTTTTCCGCCGGAAGCCTGATCGCTTCAGTTGAAAAGAAATTTTGTGAGCTGAAAATACATGGACGGAGATTGAAATGGTTTTTGGTTTGAGCCGATACAGTTTATCGGCGGCAGAATATGAGCAGAATGTCGGTGAGGTGTGCTCGCACCATCCGTCTGTCATGCGTTTATAGTCTACAAATGCGTAAATGCGCGTTCACATTGGAACGCCAATAAAAAAGGGTATTTGTTAACTGTCATGCCTCGTAGGATGTGTGGGCGACAGGTGGGTTTTTCTGTTATGAACTCCATCCCCTCCTTAACGTGGTGCGGCGGTGGCAACTAATGTGCGCCTTTCACGCAGGATGGGAGAACGGGTCACCGGTCATTTTTCATTAGCGTGCCTTTAACCAATTCTTTTTATGGTTACTTTCCGTGTACACTTGTGAAACATATTTCTGGTGATTCTGTAATTTGCTTTTGATCAGTCATAATGAAAGCATACTTTCCAAAAATGGCTTCGTATTTCCTGACAACGCAAGCGTCACGGCAACCAAGGCATCTAGGCTTTGTGCTGAAGATAAGCTCACGTAGGTGAAAAAATGGGGGCGTAAATTTCCTCTTTCTTCTATAGCTTCAGAACGGTCCCGAGGCCTCGTGATTCTAAAACAACATAAGATTGCCTCTAGTAGCATATGTTTAGTAATATATACGGGAGCCCGGCAGCATACGTGTGGCTGAGGCACATAAAACGCTTCATGAGTGCTTCATTTCAAAGTGTTACTTGTTACGCACTCAACAAAAATATAAGCCAGTCGAGCCAGAGTTTCTAGGACAGAGGGGCACCTCGTCCTTTGTCACTTATATAGCATGTAGAATCACCCACGACAACTAGAAAGAATGCTTTATAGCCACAACTGAGTTCCCGAAGTTTCACACCAACAATCGTGACAAAAATGAACAAGCTTGGCAGGCATTGTGCACGAAATACCTCAACAAGTGCTTAAATTCTGCGTTTTCAGAAGACTGGTAAGCCCTTTTTATACCCACACAATGCGTTAAAGGTTAACTACCAGAAATGGAAAATCGGTGACCTGCTCTGGAATAGCCACAGACACCACCTTTGATTCATTGGCTGAGAAGGATGCACCAATAGTCCTGTCAATATAAACTAGACCTGGGGCTGTTCATTAAAACAACAGTCCTCGCATCTACCGAATACAAGTTGAATGATATATGGCCTTCGATGTATGCGTGTGAGAATTAAGTTTCGTACGTATATATATAACCAGACGAACTAGAAATCCGGAATTCAGCGAACCGTAACAACCAGCACGTATGTATTCGAATTGGCGAATATGTACGGCATATGGAATATTAAAACAAGAGATTAATGAATAGAGCAATGAATAGAGTATCAATCATGTTCATCACAATGCGCTACATCAGCTATTCCGCTGGCTTCGTCGACTATGTCTTACATTGCAAACACGTGCTCACAAGCCTTTCAACTGCGGCTGCTCCGTTAAACACCAAAAATTTCTCACGCATGATAGCTAGAACGGGCGACTTGCCCACATGTTCTTCCAATTCATGATAGTGTCTAGCCAAGCAATGTGTCACGGGATGTCGAGTCGGAATGTGCTGGGATGCCGGCGAGAATGGGATAAACCACTATTATGCAGCCTTACTTCGACACATATCAGTCCATCAAGGATTGCTGAAGAGAGCGTTGATGCTCTACTAGAACTCGAAAATTAGTTACACGAACGAGAAAACGGGGAGCACCAACAATATCAGCTTGTTGAGTAGAATTATTACAACAGGAATATATGGGAACAAGGGACTTATCTTTTTGCAGGTACAGGTTGATAAATCCTGTTTTGAGTCCGGATGCAGGTTTCGTGTCTTCTTCGCTGTTGTAACAGCGACGCGTATTCCTGGATGCCCGTGAGCGTAGCACCGTAAGTCCTGAGCGGCTCAGCTCCGGGTTGGGCGACATGAGAAGCTCCGTTGAGTTGTGTTGTGTTGCTGTGCTGTTATCCTATATGTAGGAACGTTTGGGTGTGTGTGGGTGTCAGCACATGACTTGTTGCTATCCTATCGGACGGTAGACAGTCTATGTCAGATGAGTCACCCTTATGTGTCATGATTTGTACGTGTGGGGAAAGAAAGACGAGTCTTGGGATCAAGTGAGTCACGATTCTGTGGCGTGATTTGTGAGTGTAAGAAAGATCTCGTGATCTAGTGATTGTCGGTGACCTGTACAGTCATGTGTGTGGCGAAAGGGTAGCAACAAGAGTTTACGCAATGTGTTGGGCAAGTCCACATTCACTGTCTCATCAAGAAGTAACTTTCTGACGACCAAATTAATTCTATGCAGAAGGGCGTGTTGTTGCACTAATGCAGTAGTGAATATTCTGCTGCTGTCACTTCATCACGTAACAGTTTGTCAAATTGTTATTTCCGTAAAACAGTAGAGTTCAGAAAGTTGTTCTATTCAAGTCTGAGGTCCTGTACATCTTCGACAAAGCCTTTAACATTCGTTTTTGGCCAGGTCCGGAAAATAAACAGTCTTTGGGAGAAACACGCCGACCTTTGGCAACACAGTCAAAAACTATACGGAACTTTCCGGGCTTTTGAGGCTTGAAGACCAGCTGATGCGGGATGAAGCACAAGCGCTCTGTTGAACTAACATGCGACCGATTTACATACTCTTTTTCACGAGTAGTTAGAGACTCGGTGTAGTGTCTGAGGATGCCATAATCATTCAACAAGCGTCTTTTTAAATAACTGAGGCGTTTGTCCGCCAGATTCAGGTAACTGGGTAGGTTTCTCTAGTCAATTTTCAGGGGCAGCGGCACCTGACAATGACCGTCCAACAAGCTTACAGACTGCTGTGTGTCTTTCATAATCTCTTTGTTCTATGGAGACAGTGATTTATCTATATCCTTACTGTGGTTCAAATTCGATTCAAACATCCACAGTATGTGATTTTCAACACTAGGTTCTGTACTGAGGCAATTTACTGATATTCGTTTGGGTCCCGCAGAGGAGGTAATCCAAAAATTGCCCACCTCAAGGCTGTTAAATATAAGTAGTGATGTTTCATGGACTCAGACGTTGCTCGTTAACCATAGTGAGCTTCTGAGACATTAGTTCCTATCAAAATCAAGAGGTCGTATCCAGGAATTCGTGAAGGTTGAACATCCGCAAAATGCTTTCATTTGCTCAGAAGCAAATCATCCGTAGCCCTCGCGATGGAAAGCGACCCAATAGCGTAGGCACAGTCCACGTCCGCAACATACCCGGCAAACGAAGACCGGATGGCAGAGCCCACTGCCGTGGTATCCTTGATGTCGGGGACATTTACCGGTGATACTTCTACGCGTGTCACTTCCCCCTCTATCCCAAGTTGCTTTTCCACGTCTGTCAGTAATAGGGTGGCATTAGAACCATTGTCCAACAGAGCGTGAGTTAGTAGTTCTCCCTTCGGCCTAATCAGCCGGACTGCTACAAACCCAAAATAGCTCCGGGGTCCATAAACCACCGTTTAGTTGACGTTGGCATCTTTCGTAGCACTGTTCAACATCTGCTGTGTCCTGAAGCAGACGATGGTGTCTTTGTTTGCAATTCGAGACATCGGAAGGTGTAGGGACGCGACACTAATCCTCTATGGTTAGGCTCTAGGCTACTGAAGCGTAACTTGAGGCCGTTCAGCCCAATGAGCTCCTTCACTTGAAGTAGGGTGCCCAAAACTTCACAGTCTCGAAACCGTAAGGAGAAGTCATAGTCGCTTCCATAGCTGCGACGTTGATGCGGACCTTCCTAGCTGAGCGTTCTAAGCCTGCTTTGCTATCTGACTACCATATCTTCTTTGACTGGCAATCACACCGTAGCAAGGAACGGATACAGTTCTGTTAAGAAAGTATACTGAATGACCAAATTCCGACTCTGATTCCGAACAGTGTGCTGTTTGCCGCCTCAGCCCAACTTTGTTGCAAATGCAGGAGTGGACCTCTTTCTATACGCCTGAGTTTGGTCGAGCAGTTTAAGTCCACATATTTGACTCAATGCCAGATCACAGTTCACCGTTTCCCAAATCAGCCTTAAAAGGCATCGGCGGCTCCAGTAGCAATGGGCTCTCCCACCAGTAGTCCGTTTATAAAAGATTGTGTGGTATCGTGTGGCCTGCCGAACTGCGTCCTGAGGATATCTATAGCCTTTTGATAGACCGCCGTTCCAAGCAGGAACACGCAGTATTCAATGACATCCCCGGCTTCTCCACAGCGACGATAGTGGAAGCACATTAATTTATTGGTATCCTCAAGCAGCCGATCAGCTACGTTAGCTTGGAATGCTTTCGCAAACTTCAGAAATTTTATCGGACCCCTGCTGAACTTACCTTTCTCTATTTTTGGTAGGTTAAACCCTGGCACTGCAGCGTAGTGGTCAACACATATGCCGTTCATTTCGTGCGGTTCGAGTCCCGGCGGCGTCGCCTTTTTTAGGCCAATTAGTGGATGATCGCGTGCAGTCTATTTCCCCAGAGTTGATCTTTGCCACGAATTTCTCAACCTTCTGTTCACTGGATGGTAAACACGTCCACAGTCACCGGAATTCGAGCTTTCATCATCAGAGGACCCATAAGACATTACCATCTGCTTTAGGGACGCTAACTTCCACTCTCTAATCTCTATCTCCCTCATCTCCATTGCAAACTCTTCCTCACGTATCTGATTCTTTAACTTACATCTCTGTCTATCCGCGTGCCTACTGGACATTACAATATCAGCTGCGCTTAGCCTGGGGAAAATACTGGCATAACAAGAGAAGTTGAGAAATGCAAATGTCACGGTTAACAAGGTTATCGCAATTATCGTTTACGAAGTTAGCAAGTTCTGGGTTCGACAAGGTTTCCGGTATAGCGCCACTTCGTGTACCGGCCATACTGGTTCCACAGTTTCAAATTCTGATTCGAGAAAAATGGCTAAGATCCACGAGATGCTTGACAATTGATTTCTAGATTTGATTACTATATATTGTTTCCAGCAATACGTTGGACCACGTTGAGTTACGCGCAAAACCCTAAAAGCCAAATCGTTCAAATGGAAGTTTGTCTACAAATGCGCTACCGTGAATACAATAATACAATAGTACGATAATGAAAATATACTAACCGCTGGACCGGTTTCTATACACCAGCTTTGGAACTGCAAATTCTTAATGGATTCCAAAGTTTACACGGACGCAATGCCACGTGTTTACGCCGCAGGCTGTTGAGACACCCAAATTAAGTTCGCCGAAACTATAGGGTTTTCGAAGTTGCTATTTTAATAGGAAGTTAGTCTAATCAACTAGCACCTTCCCGTGACATGTTGCACGTGGCATTTTGCTTAAGTGAGCGAAATGTCAAGGTCATTGACCATCGCCGATTCGGATTTTTGCCAGTTTACGCGACATAAAACACGAAATCGCACTTTAGCGTAATTTGGCGTTCTTCGGCGTTCCTGAAGAATAAGAATAAGAATAAGAGTATTCAGTGCAAATGCCACCCTTAGGATCAGTCACAGGCGTTTGTTTGCTTTAGACACCTCATATTTAACAAATGGGATATTTTTGTTCGGCGAACCTGCTCACAACACATTTTCCCCATGGGTTTCATGTTCCATTAAGTGCAATAAAGTTAGATTACAGCACAAACTTGCAGTGGCAGTGCGAAGGACATCTGTGGACGATCAACTTTCCCAGATATGCATAACCAGTTTGTAGACAATACAGTGTTACCAGAATGCTGTGGGCGTCTTTCCTATTATGACTGTGACGTTCTATAGGTGGTGACCACCAGCCATGAAGCGGTCACCACGATGACGGTAGCCGTTGTCACTCACCTCGACTACCTATTGTAGCTGCTGGATCCGTGTCTATGTGCCACGCTAATTAAGGTTCCCCATACATGCACGGCAGCCCAATCCAATGAACAACGACGGCCCCTTGCACTCGTATCTCTACTAGTTTTCACTCCTCTCGAATACGTATTGTAACTGCTAGGCCCGCGTTTATGTGCAACTTTGATAATGAGACTGCACCTATACACAGTAACATAATCCGATGGTCAATGGCGGTCTTGTATACCATTAACTATACGCGATCTCGCTTGTCTTCGCTTGCTACAGTAATCATGAGTGCAATTTATGTGCCGACCGGTAAAAATAAAGCCTCAGCTATGCGTGATAGCCACATCTGACAGGCTGTTATACTCACAACTGTACTCGAGGTCACCTTACTTGGCTATTGATCGTACCTGGTGAGTCGGTGTCCTTGTGCATACATACCTAATCTGGTGGCGACCGATTAACCTAAAACTCAAAACTGCACGCGATATTGCCTACCTTGACTTCTTATTGAAACTGCTAGGCCAGTGTACATATGCGACGCTGTTTAGTAGGCCTCGGTTACGCGAAGTGTCCTGATTTAACTACCAACGATGACCCGCCATACCCATAAATGTGCGCGCTCTCGCTTATGTCTGCTGCTTATATCATCATGGAGAGCATGAAATCAGTGTTAAACACCGATCTTTACT